GCTCTTGCTTCGGCTTCCGCCTTCGCTCTTGCTTCGGCTTCCGCCTTCGCTCTTGCTTCGGCTTCCGCCTTCGCTCTTGCTTCGGCTTCCGCCTTTGCCTTCGCTGCTGCCGCTGCCTCTGCTTTGACCTTGGCCTCGTGCTCTGCCTTGGCTCTCGCCTCCTCTTCGGCGGCCCTTGCCTTGGCTTCGGCTTCTGCTTTCGCCTTGGCTTCAGCTTCAGCCTTGAGCCTTGCCTCTTCTTGTGCCTTTGCACGCGCCTCTTCTTCGGCTTTTGCTTTTGCTGCAGCTTCCTCCACTGCATCCTTCCTGGCCTCTGCGTCGTTCTTTCTCTTGATGTTGTGCTGGACGATCCGTGCCTCTGTGGATCGGATCCAGTCGTGTGCTTTTGTCCAAGCCGTCTTCATCTCGACGTGCTCGTTGCGCGCTTGATTCTGGCTGTCGTCGTCCGAGAAGCAGGACTGGACGACGTGGAGCACCCACTGCACGACAGAGGCGTTCCACATCCTCAGCGTCTTGGCCAAGATCGCGCTCTCCCTATCCCGAACCAGAGCGCTTGACATCTCCACCTCGGCCTCTGGATCGAGGTGCTCCAAGAACGACTTTGCATCGTCATCATCGAGGAGCCTAGTGTGTGTTGCATCGCCGCGCGACGTGGTGATGGCTTGAGGGATTTCGGCAAGGATCCGTTCGGTGACACGCGAAAAGTGGGCATCCAGACGCTGCAACAGCGGCGTGGCGAGGGAGACAGGCGCAAAGATCTGCAGCGCATTGATCCACTCCATGATCCGATTCAGCAGCCTACCAAACGGCGGATAGTCGACCAGCTCGATGTTGGGTCGTGCAAAGTCATCGTACGCCGAAGGAGCGGCATCACTTGCCGAGATGGTGAAAAGCTCCTGTAGGGCGGTAGAAGAAAGCTGGGACGAAAGCAGCCAGTGCGATGGCAACGCATCGGTGCCACTGGTGTGCTGATCCAGTTGCTCGTGGATGTACGAAAAGGCGTCTTCGAGTGAGCGTGAAAGCACATCCAGCCAAATCGCTTCCATCGAGGTCAGGTCCTGATCAGGTAAGTCGACGGGCGAGAAGAGGAGCTCGCCACAGTCGAGTCCGAATCGTGCAAGCGCTGCCGAGGCATAGCTGAGTTGCGTGTGCACGTTGCTGCACATCTCTGCAAATGCTTGGAGCGACGCACTCGAGTCGCCCTGCACCGACGCAGACGCAGAGAGCCGCTGCGCAGCTGCCTTCAGCTGAGCCGACACGGTACGTCGCAGCAAATCGAGTCCCGAGGTAGCGAACGATGCGAGCAGATAGGCGGGCGAGATCATGGCGTCTTGATCAGCATGCTCGTTGCCATGCTGAACAGAAGTCGCGTCGTCGACGAATAGAGGGAATGCCATGCCAAGGGTGTCTGCCATCTCCTGGCGCCAGAGGTCAATGTATCTACGCAGGTAGGCGTGACTGTTGACGGTGGATGGCGAGCCCATGGCGTTGAGCGAGGCGCGAAACGAGTGGATCCTGGCCTTGAGGAACACGAGGCAGAGCTGGTTCTCGGTGATGCCGAGTTGCGGAATGAGGCTGGAGAAGAGTTGCGATGCTACGATGCTGGTCCAATCTGGGATGCGTACGAGCGACGACTGTATGTGGTTGAGCCTACGGAGCACGGTGACGGACTTGCGGACGGCAGGGAGCTTGATGCTGGGCTTGGAAAAGCCAGCGAGCAGGTCGGCCTTCATCGCGGCGAGATGGGAGAGCGTCTCGATGAGGAGCGAGAGGTAGGTGCTGCGCTGACCGTGCTGGATGGCTTGCGAGTCGAGGACTGGGGTTTCAGGAGCGCCGAGAAGGCCGATGAGATGCTCGGTGAGCTGGATGGCCTCGGAGTGGTGGCCTGCCTTGACGCACGTGTGCACGAGCGGAGGGATGTCGAGCAGGTCGGAGAGATGGCCGCGCTCGTACTGGTCAGCGACATTCTGGATGCGCTTCTTTTGATCCAGGGCTGGTCGACTCTGGGCGAGGAAAGCATCGGCGGCGGCGTGCAGGTCGGGTATCGACTTCTGAATTAGATCAGAAAGGTTAGATGCGAGAGATTCTAGTGCAGGGCCGAAGCGCTGTTCTGCCTGGTGGATGTGGATGAAGGCATCGGTTTGGGAAATGCAGAGCTCCGAGAGCTGGACGTGAAGCGCATCGGACTTGGCTTGCAGCTGATGCGGCTGGTTGCGAAGGTCGGAGAGGCTGAGGTTGGAGAGCGAGCGGATGTAGGATGCGACTTCTTTGGTGGCGAGTGCCTCGGTGGAGATGGGCGACTTTGTCTGCTCGGCCGCCTCTTGGATGAGCTGACTGAGCGAGCTGGCCGCCGACGTCGACATCGCGCTGGGGTATTGGCCACAATGAGGCTCCGGATGTCACTTTGTTGGAAGGAGGCGGTGACAGCCAATGCTGGCCTGTTCACGCCATGCTTTCCCCAAGTGTTGGCCCGAGTCCCGAGCCTTTGTCGATCCTGGCACCGCACCGACACGCGACGGAGATCATCTCGGCCGAGAGAAAGATCGCCGAAGCGAGCCAATCACGGGGTCGGCCCGATCTGCATGCAAATGCGCGTCCAAGATAATCGAGAGTCGAGAACGCAAGATCACGAACCTGGGCCTGCGAGCCGAGCCGAGCCAATCAGGCATGGAGGATTGATCGTGCGCCTCGCCCAGGAGCGTTGCGGGCTCAAGGCGTCGCCCACCCTCTCGCCGGCCAATCACAGGCGCTGTCAAAGTTGCTCGCTCCCACTGCAGCTCCGAGGTGCAAGTCAGTCATTCGAGGACGTGCCGCTGTCGCTGTCGCTGTCGAGCAGAAAAACAGGGAGTACCGCATGTTCGAAGCTGTGGACAGGGGGCAGCAGTGGGACGCCACAGGATCTTCCGATGGCGGGGTAACGGCCGACCAGGCGATGGCTAGAGGGAGGCGTGCCATCTGATACAGTACAGCATGTTGCGACTCGAGTCATCTAAGGCTGGCGTGCGGGCGCTGGCAAGCAAGGCACGGCCAATTTCTCCTTGCGCTGCTGGATGGCAGCAGCGTGCGGGGACATTTTTTGCAGGATTTTCGAGGCTCGCGCGAGACAGCAGCAAAGGCCAAGCGGGCGGGGTCGGCTAGATTTGAATGCCCAATATCCGGGCTTTTCTCTCTTTCTCCCTCTCGGCGCCCTTTCACACCCACACTGGCACACTGGCGCACTGCAGCTGTGAGCGGGTCAAGCGCGCGGCAGCCAATCTTCTCGCGCTCGCCCTGGCCGGTGTGTGGCTCTCTGCCTCGAGTCTGGGCTGGCTGGGACGAGTCACCGACTCTGGCTGCTAGCTAGTGCCATTGCAGCCCCCCACCCGGTATAACCTCGGCCCTCTCCCGCCACCGTGCCTTCCCTTCCTCCTCACCACCGCAAGTCTACAATCACCCCGCCTTCTCTACACGGGGTCCCTCGCCACTCGTTCCTACACTTGCAACCAAAAGCGCCTCTGTCGCATTTCGAAGCCTTTTCTCTGGCCTCGCCACCTACTCGCCACATCCAAAAACAAAAGCGTCGACTCGATCAGCATGACGAGCTTCGCCGTGCAGTTCGCACGCCAACAAAGGCACGCCTTCCAGGCCGCCTCCAAACTCTCCTCGGCTTCGTCCGCCTCCAACGTGATTGCCGCCGCTGCCGCCGCGTCCACTTCGTACGCCTCGACACCTAGCGCAGCGAGAGCCTTCTCCACCGCAAGGAACAACCTGCCTCGCTCGGCACACTTTGCACGATCGCAACGCACAAATCTCGCCCTCACAAGACACATCTCCACCAACCAGCCCAAGGAGCAGGCCGCCGCCGCCGCCGCAGCCCAGACCTCGGCTAGCGTCCGCCCCGAACCCTCGCCTGCTTTCCAGCAGTCGCCTCAGAACATCGCTCCGCTCTCGTCGCGCTACGATGCCAACGCCCTCGACGAGTCGTTCGTCGGCATGTCCGGAGGCGCCATCTTCCACGAGATGATGCTCAGGCACGACGTCAAGCACGTCTTTGGCTACCCCGGAGGCGCCATCCTCCCCGTCTTCGACGCCATCTACAACTCCAAGCACTTTGACTTTGTGCTCCCGCGTCGCGAGGACGGCGCTGGCCACATGGCCGAGGGCTACGCGCGTGTCACGGGCAAGCCCGGCGTCATCCTGGTCACCTCGGGCCCCGGCGCAACCAACGTCATCACCCCCATGCAGGACGCCATGAGCGACGGCACGCCCCTCGTCGTCTTCTGCGGGCAGGTCGCCACCTCCGCCATCGGCTCCGACGCCTTCCAGGAGGCTGACGTCGTCGGCATCTCCAGGTCCTGCACAAAGTGGAACGTCATGGTCAAGGACATTGCAGAGCTCCCGCGCCGCATCAACGAGGCCTTCAAGATTGCCACCTCCGGCCGCCCCGGCCCCGTCCTCGTCGACCTGCCCAAGGACGTCACCGCAGGCATCCTCCGCCAGGCCATCCCCTACAGCCAGACCCAGCCCAACATGATCACCAGCCTGCCCAGCCGACAGGTCGCCCGCAACCGCCGCGGCGCCACCTTCCAGCAGCAGAACACCAACCTGCGCTCCTCCGAGCAGGATGTGCTCACCTCCGAGCTCAAGGAGGCGGCGCGTCTCATCGGCATCGCCAAGCGTCCCATCATCTACGCCGGCCAGGGCATCCTCTCGTCGCCCGAGGGCCCCAAGCTGCTCGCCAAGCTCGCCAAGGAGCACAACATCCCCGTCACCACCACCCTCCAGGGCCTGGGTGCGTTTGACGAGCTCGACCCGCTCAGTCTGCACATGCTCGGCATGCACGGCTCGGCGTACGCCAACCTCGCCATGCAGGACGCCGATCTGATCATCGCCCTGGGCGCACGATTCGACGACCGTGTCACCGGCCGCATCGACAAGTTCGCCCCGCACGCCCGCGCCGCCGCGCTCGAGGGCCGCGGCGGCATCATCCACTTTGAGGTGATGCCCAAGAACATCAACAAGGTGGTGCAGGCGACGTGCGCCGTCGAGGGCGACGTCGTGGCCAACCTGGGCAAGCTCATGCCTTTCCTCGAGGCGCAGGGCCCGGACAGGAGCGAGTGGCACCAGCTCATCAAGACGTGGAAGGACGCCTACCCGTTCACCTACGAGCCGTCCAAGCAGGGCGAGCTGATGAAGCCCCAGGAGGTCATCGAGGCGCTCGACGCCGCTGTGGCCGACCAGAAGGACAACGTGATCATCTCCACCGGTGTCGGTCAGCACCAGATGTGGGCGGCGCAGCACTATCGCTGGCGCCACCCGCGCACCTGGGTCTCGTCCGGCGGTCTGGGCACCATGGGCTTCGGTCTGCCGTCGTGCATCGGCGCCAAGGTCGCTGCGCCCGAGAAGATCGTTGTGGACATTGACGGCGATGCCTCGTTCTCCATGACCGCCATGGAGCTCGCCACGGCGGCGCAGTACGACATTGGCGTCAAGGTGCTCGTGCTCAACAACGAGTTCCAGGGCATGGTGGTGCAGTGGCAGGATCTGTTCTACGAGAAGAGGTACTCGCACACCGAGATGCACAACCCGGACTTTGTCAAGCTCGCCGAGTCGATGGGCGTCAAGGCGATCCGCTGCGACAACATCGCCGACCTCCCCGCCAAGATGAAGGAGTTCATCGAGTACGACAACAACAAGCCCATCCTCTTCGAGGCGAGGATCACAAAGAACGAGCACGTCTATCCCTTCTGCCCGGCCTCGGCGGGTCTGCACGAGCTCATTGTCCACCCGAGCCTCAAGCCCATCCCCAAGAAGAACTGATCGTGGCGTATTTTCTTTTGCAACTGTTCGTTTCCGCCTGTTCTTGTCGCAGTCCGAAGATGTGTGGGTGTGTGTGCGGTCTTGTGAGCGGGAGTGGTGACAGTGTGGTTGAGCTGCGATGGTGCATCGGTGCGGACGTGGAAGCTGGCAGGCATCGGCGATGCAATTTCGCACCGACGCGGCTGTGGATGCGATCCAAAATCGGAAACGCACACCGACATCACGCTTCTCCCCCCCCCCCCCCCCCCCCCCCCCCCCCCCCCCCCCCCCCCCCCCCCCCCCCCCCCCCCCCCCCCCCCCCCCCCCCCCCCCCCCCCCCCCC